GAAAAGTCAGGGAATTTCAAACGGCAATCCCCCTTCCCCCTAAAAACGTGATGATTGCCCAAGCCTTGGAAGGGATTACTTTCTTAGCGAATTATGTACCGCATTAGCGTCATTCAGGCAGCTGGCGTAGAGCCAATTTTCACAGCTCCAATCAGATAGTCTTTTAGAAAGGCAAAGCAAAGCTTTCAGCAACTCTGGTAGCCTCGGGAATCGAGTGTATGTACAATGCATGTTGAACGAAAGAAAATACCTACCCATTCTCGTATACGGTACACATAGGATTTGGCGACAGTATGATGAGCAGTAAATCAGACATTTATGATAAGCAATAAATGGTCATTTTCGTATTAGCGACAATTTTCAAAATCGTGCCAAGGCCGTGACGTATGTATATTTCACAAGTGCACATCAGCGTACCCACTGAGGGAGGGGTTTCGAAAATGGACCAATGAGCTTCTATTGCTCTTGTGACGCTAATTCTTCATGCATGTGAGCGTACGTTGTTTATGTTTTAATTTGCATTTGTTTCGTAGTTATAAATAATACAATAGTACAAAATCTCGTAGTGTTTTCGATTTATGAGTTTAATTAATCGCTGACACTTCACTTTCGCGGTTTTTATCACACATTAATATTTGGATTTGATGTTCACGGCATATTATCGCTCTCGAGAAAATGACTCAACCTACAATTAGCTTCGAATATTATGGATTTATTAACACATGGGGATTAAGAGAATTCAAGTGTATAGTTTTGTTTCAATTGAGCTGAGGAAGGCTGGAAGTGTTACAATGAATCTAGTGTTTTCTTGTTTCAATGCTTGCATTCTTTTTATTTGTTTGTATTCATTTCAAATTCTTTCAGCCAGGTAACGAAATCTTCACAATTGCTTATATTTGATCTAACTTCGCAATGAAAATTTTCAGAAATCGACGATGCTTTAATTATTTTGTACAGAAAATTGCGTGGCAGAATATTTTCAACCCTCTTGTTTAAATCTTAAAGCACGCGAAAGATCATGTAACATGACAGAAATATTACTGGATGCCCATTGGTCCATCCTAGAAGCCACTCCCTCGGTGGCTACGCAGATGTGTACTTGTGAAATATGCGTACCGTATACTAACGACATCTTTTTAAAAAATGCGGTATTTGTCATTTTGCAGTAAAATAAAAAAATAGTAATCAATCATCTAGGCTAACCATTTTCACCAAAATATCGTTAATTATGGAAATTCAATTTTTTAATCTAAGTAATTATATAATTATTTTAATATTCGTATAATTTAATATGACTTCTTTTTCCTAAATTTATTTATTATTAATAAATAATACTTTCAAATTTTAGGCAATTTACTCTGGCATACTAATGAAACTTAATTCTAGCAGTATGATATACAATGACGAAATTTAATGCACATATTTTTTGTTTATGTATGTTGCTAAATAAATATAAAATACATGAATTTATTTTAAAATATCATTAAAAAGATTTCCTTCTTTCGTTTAGCTGGGGAAAAAAGAACTTTTTATAATCCAGAATGGACAGATTCTAATCTCTGTCTTCAGTGGAGTAAACAACTTCTATTATAGTTATAATGTCATATGTAATTGGCAAATTTTTATGTTTTCACCACGACACCTTTCTTTGCGAAAATAATAACAAGGCATAGATTCTTTCGGATTTTGTGTTTTTTGCACTTTTCCAATAATGCAGGAATGTCGTCGAATCCAAGCAAGTTATGCAAAATTCAACCCGTAATAAATTATCTTCTAAATAAATTTAACACAACATACAAACCGGAACAGGTGCATTCTTTAAATGAAGCCATACCATATCATGGAAGACTGCCTTTTAGGATTTATAATTCGAGTAAAATAATAAAGTATGAAACACTACTCAAAGTGTTGTCTGAGGCAAGTACTGGATTTATCTGCAACTTTTAGCTGTATTGCGAACAAGGAGACAATTTAGGGGGGGGAATATATTTCACTTCTTTTAAATAAAAACGAAAGCTTATGGCACCACATGTGGTGACATCATTCTCGTTAATGAAGCGCCATCCGTGAAACATCTCGCATGCAATTTTCTTTTCGCCAGAGTGGCAACAGTAAGCCTTCGACAAGAAAAAGAACAATGACTGATTTTCTGCCTGTATTATTCTATATCAAAAAAAAAAATGAAAATAAATATTAATCTTCCTGGAGTCAGAATTGTGTTTAACATTTCCTATGTTCCAGACTTCCCCACTGGTGACCCGGACGTGATCCAATTCAACTTATGAAATGCAAGATGGAAAATGAACGTACGATGTTTCTGTATATAACGAGGTGTCATTGACATTATAGACACTTTATAAATAGTCATCTGTTATCGAATATATGTTAAGGACAGCGTCATAAGCAGCTACTTACCCATTTTTAAAGTTTCACAGTTTTTTTTTTTTTTTGGTGCGCATGGATTACATCGAGAACTGATGGTTCGATTGTTTTTATGCGTCTCTGAAATATAAATTCCGAGCGTACGTGGGACTGAAATACTTCTAAAATGGTAAATCAATTTTAAAAATTTAAATTTTGTTCTATCTTGAAATACGTCTGCAGAGGTAATGTATACAATTAGAATTTTTAGAATACATCAAATGTGTTAAGAATAAATGAACTAGTTTTTACTAAGCATGCTTTAGCCGAAAAAGCTTACACTAAAAAAAACAAAAAAAAAAAAAAAAAAAAAAAAAAAAAAAAAAAGTTAAAGGGGGCAGTAGTTGAGCCTAATTCTACTATGGCTGAAGGAGATGAAAGTAAGCAAACCGAAACTAATGCAACATCTGCTAATGTCGCCAAGGTCAGCATCAAAATTCCTCCTTTTTGAAAACCTGACCCCAAAATATTGTTACGTTATTTTCTTCCTTCACGTTCGTACGGAGTTCGTAGATTTGGAGTGAATAACGACAAAACTTGATGAAGTATCGAAGCACACTTTATTTACCAATATTCTCAGGACAGCTCCAAAATCACTTTTACAGTCGTCGAACTGTTATAAACACGCCGACACGTTCAGCTACACAGCCTTCACACTGTCAGGCAATAACGGTGGAGACAGCTTCACTGCAAAGCACCAGAGTACAGCTTCCGACTCTGTTTGGTCATTCTCGGAACTCCGTACTCTCCACGCGATGCACTCGACGATACACAAGAGTATAGCTCTCGACTCAACACAGTCTAAGACAAAACTCTCGCACTCGACAACCAACTCGGCGCTAGACTTCGAGACATTCGCTCAATGACTGACTATCAGCTCGCTAGACGAGGCACACACACTGACTGCGGACCAGCAGAATTTATATAGCTTTCGGCTTGTGTTCGAGAACATTCTGGGCTAAACTGGTAAGAATCCGTTCCAGAAGGTTCTCCATCCGTCCATGGTATATCGCCAATTTTGTCGCCAAATGGGCGATGTCTCGCCAAATGTGGAAACTCTCCCTTAACTTGCCATTTTTATGGCAACCCTAAAACTGCTTTGAGGGGAAGCTATCTCACCGCGCGTGTACATTTCGTAACATTGTCCACTCCCAAGGACTGCACGTCCCCGGGCAGTATAACCTTTGGTGAGAAGCCAAATTCGATACAATCGAAACGTTTTAAAACATACAGATAACATACTAAAGAACAAACATTTACACTACATACAAACTTTACAGTAGGTAAAAAAAAACTCATGCACAAGAATTATGGGTATCCAGGATTGCAAAGCATTATAAAAATTAAATACAAAAACAGTTACATATAGTGAAATAATTGTAAAAGATATGAACTACCATATTTATTTATTACGTGCTTCGCCAGTAGGTACCCTACGGAATGAGCAGCACTAAGTACTATGGCCATAGTAAGGGGCTAATCTGTCATTATGAACGACCTTGGGTTTTGAATTGGGGATTTACGGATCCGTATCACAACGTCGTTCAACCTGTTGAGGACTGTATAGGGACCTTCCCAATGCGACTGCAGTTTGGGAGAAACTCCCTTACGACGACTTGGATTCCACAGCCAAGCTTGGTCGTTTTCCTGGAATTGATGTTAGGTGGCTCTTGCGTAGTATCTCTTTTTCATCCTGTCCTTCGAGATGTTGATCCGCTCTCGGAGTAAACCTGTGTACTGTTTCCAACCGGGCCTGGAGGTCTTGCACGTACTCCTCAGGCGAGGAATGTACATCCGAAGGTCGGCCGAAGAGCAGGTCACTTGACAGATGGAGATCACGACCGAAGAGCATGTGATGGAGAATAGCCGGTGCTTTCGTGGACGGCACTACGGTAAGCAAGCAGGAACAGGGGTAGCTTGCGATCCCAGTCTTCTTGGTTTTTGGAAATCATGAACGAGAGGTGGTTCAGGATTGTACAGTTAAACCTCTTCACCATGTCATCAGACTGCGGATGTAACGGGGTCGTCTGCGTTTTCTTGATTTCCAACAAGTCGCAGAGTCCCTTGAACACAGCCGAAGTAAAGTTCCTGCCTTGGTCGGAATGAATCTGGAGAGGGGTCCCAAATCTGGACACCCAATTCTGTAACAGAACTTCAACTGTTGTGACAGCTTCTTGATCTGGAACTGGGTAAGCTTGGGCCACTTCGTAAAGTAATCCATGAGAACGAGGATGTATTTGTTGCCGTTCGTGGTCCGAGGAAAAGGTCCAAGTATGTCGAGGGCAATTCGCTCGAAAGGCGCACCTACATTGTATCGCTGCAGTCTTCCTCGGCTACGTCCCTTCGGTCCTTTCCTGGCTGCGCAAGCATCACAAGATCGGCACCACTTCTCAACATCGTTCTCGCCGAACTCCAGAAGAAGCGCTCTCGGACCTTGTTTAGTGTCTTCATACAGCCGAAATGCCATCCTGTTGAACTGCTGTGTATTTCCTTCAGAACATCAGGTATTCGGTTTCGAGGAAGCAGCAGCTGCCATCTCTTATTAGTTCCCTCGTCACGTTTCCATAGTCGATATAAGACTAGATTTCGGAAGTGGAGTGAATCCCAGAGAGCCCAGTACCTTTTAGCTGCAGGGCTGAAAATGGAAATGTCCTGCCACTTGGGTTTTGTACTGGATGATTTTTCATGTCAGGATCCGCTGATTGGTCTTCTCTAACGTTTTCATCACTCCACGGATCTGGATCAGTTGATGTTGAAGATGTTACTTGCCGGATATTCGGATTCGCCAAACCGTACTTAGCCTCAGCTCTTGAACAATGGCTGCAGTGTGCAGGACAAGGCTTCCTGGATAAAGCAGCCGCATTTCCATGGGAGGAGCCTTTACGATGTTTTATGTCAAAGTCATATTCCCGGAGTCTTTGAATCCATCTGGCTATTTGTCCTTCGGGATTTTTGAAATTCAGTCGCCAGGTTAGAGAAGCATGGTCAGTCCGCAATAAAAATTTTCTGCCATAAAGATAATGATGGAAATGTTCTATGGCCTTTACGATAGCAAGTAATTCTTTACGTGTGACGCAATAATTCCTTTCCGGTTTGGACAAGCATTTACTCCAATAGGCTATTACTTGCTCTTGACCATTAATCATTTGAGAAAGGACAGCTCCCACACATTCTTTGCTTGCATCTGTGTCCAATATAAATTCCTTCTCTGTCTGAGTATATGCGAGCACGGGCGTAGATGTTAATGCCGTCTTCAACTGATTAAAGGACTTCTCGCACTCCTCAGTCCAAGCGAATTTTTGTTTACTTTCTGTTAATTTATGCAGAGGCCTTGCGATGTTGGAGAACCCTTTCACGAATCTTCTGTAGTAAGTACAGAGTCCCAGGAAGCTCCGTAGTTGATGAATATCCACAGGACGTTCCCAGTCCTTAACTGTCGACACCTTCGGCAGAGATGACGTGCCCGAGATAGGTAACTTCACTGCGGAACAACTTGCATTTTGAAGGACTCAGTTTAAGGTTGGCATTTCTCAATTTCTGGAACACCTTCCTGATATTTTCTAGATGTTCCTCGAAAGTAAGGCCCACTATAATGATGTCGTCTAGGTAGATCAGACAGGATTCGTAAGATAGACCCGAAGCACTGTCTCCATCAAGCGTTCAAATGTTGCAGGGGCGTTAGAGTCTAAAGGGCATAACTTTAAACTGCCAGAGTACTTGACCGGTAATGAACGCAGTTTTCTCTCTATCATCAGGATGAATTTCTACTTGCCAGTATCCACTCTGGAGGTCCAGAGTGGAAAACCACTTGCGTCCTGATAGGCTGTCTAGAGTATCGTCAATCCTGGGAAGAGGGTAACTGTCTTTCTTAGTGACATTATTTAGTCTCCGGTAGTGGACACAAAATCTTGTCGAACCATCTTTCTTTCGGACGAGAACTATAGGAGATGCCCACGGACTTGTGGATGGTTCAATGATATCATTTTCTTGCATCTCCTTCAGAAGATTTCCAACCTCTTCCTGTTTTGCGAATGGTAAACGTCTGGGATGCTGCTTTATCGGAGAGTTATCCCCCGTATCAATTCTATGTTGCGTCAGTTTTGTGCGGCCAACATCTCCGGATGACCTAGAAAATAGATCTTCAAATTCTTTTCTCTGCCGCACGTCTTTATTCATGGGTTAAATTTGCACTCTGCAGAAATTCTTCCATTAATTTCCTAGTTGCCTCAGTCGGAATTTCAAGTGGAGCTTTGTAAACGCAAGTAACTGGAGTGCATACTGCTAGCACTTCACCCTTTTGGATGTTTCTCGGTCTGTGGCTAACATTCGCCACTCTCACAGGGATGAAATCTTTCGAAAAGTCTACTAATGAGAGGCCACTAATACCTCTCTTGGGCTATTTTCAGGGTATTCAATTAATCCAAATCTGAAGCTATTCTTTTCTATGGCGCCGGCTATTAATAATTCTGTCATCGGAGGGAGGGTGACATCTGTTTTTGTTGTTACTTGGTGATCTGCGGGAACGCCGCTCTTCATTTCAAACACAGTTATATCTTCTTTTGCAGAGTGCATTTCATTACGTTTAAAGTCCAACGTAAAGTCGTACTTCCGCAAAAAGTTCAGTCCGAGTATTAATTCGTCCGCGATGTTAGCGACGAAAGCTAAATGCTGGTAGGTCTCATTTCCGAAGGTAATGATGATGTAAATTTTACCTTCAATGGGAATCTTATCACCTGTCACTGTTTGTAAAGTCACACAGGGCGGAATCCAGCGCAACGTTTCGCTCAATTTTCGAGCTACATCTGTTCTCACGATGGTTACATTTGCTCCCGTATCTGTGATCATTTTACAAGGATGCTTATTCACGTATCCTTCGACGAACAGTCTTATCTCCGCCGCTCATTGAAGAGATTTGAAGAATTTTCAGAGGGGCTGCATCTTTGCCTGGCAACCTCCGCCCCGTGAGACTGCCCCACTTTAGTTTCCCTGGTTTTGTTTCGCGGGAGCTCTCTCCCAGTCTTGATTCACGTGACAGTTCCTGCTGAGATGTCCTTCCCATCCGCAGTTCCAGCACTTGACGATTTTCTGCCCAGTATTGTGTTGATTAGGTCTTCTTAACGCCTCCCGAATCTCTCTTATTTCTTTTTTTAGTTTCAAGACATCAAAATTTGGATCTTGTGTTTGAGCTGCTCTAACAAGATGGCGATCTCTTCGAGTCGCTTCTTGAGCCGACTCGAACTTCATAGCGTAGACCAAGGCAGATTTCAGGTGTTTCAGATTCGCCAATTTGAGAACTTCCTTAACGGCATCGACGAAATGCATCCAGGCCAGATTTTTCTCGACATCAGGTGGATAGTCCGGATATGCTTGATGCGCCAACCTCTCGATGTCAGATGCAAGTTCTTGAAGGCTTTCCGTGATTTTCTGCTGGCGGAATTTCAGCTGCAGACGGCTACAGTCCTTTGCACACTTTTCCCCGAATCTCATTTCCAGCGCATTCAAGAGGCGGCTGAGAAAAAGCCAGATGAATTTTTGGAAACACTGTTGATGCACTTAATATGCGGAGCATTTTATCTGTAAGCAGTGATGATTTGTCCAAATTGTCTACAATGGCTGACAAAATATGGGAATTAAATCCCAATCAAATGGCGCAGATCACCCTAACTACAGATGCATCTGATTCTGCCGTGGGTGCCGTGATTCATCAACTATTCAATAATGAAAAACAACCGCTTAGCTTTTTCTCCCGATCACCAACACAGAGAAATTACAGTGCATACGATCGAGAACTACTTTCAATCTACCTAACGGTGAAGCATTTTAAGCACATTCTGGAAGGACTATCATTTACTACCTTCACTGATCATAAACCTATCACTTTCGCCTTCCACCAGAATTTAAAGCTTCTCCAAGCAAGTACAGCAGTTGAACTACATTGCCGAATTCACTACAGATATTTGCTACATTTTTCTGGAGAAGAAAACATTGTAGCTGACACGCTAATCGAGGATCGACACTATCGCTATCCCAGCTCCAATTGATTATACAGTTATTGCCAGGAGGATGCAGACTTCAGGATTCTTAAATCAAATTTCCGTTTCAAAATAGTACAAATTCCTATTCCAGACAGAAATAAGAAAATTTATTGTGATACTTCCGCTAATTTTAAGAGGCCATACATTCCTAAAGAATTTTGCGAACAAGTATTTTTCTCTATACATAACTTATCCCATCCTGGAATTCGTGCAACGAAGCTGGTGACAAAAAGATTCATTTGGCCTGGCGTAAACAAAGACTGTCAGCTGTGGTCTAGAGCATCTTTGCAATGCCAATGAGCCAAAATACACAAACATACCCATGCTCCAGCTGCTGACTTCAAAGTTCCCAATCAATGTTTCAAGCATCTTAATATCGATATTGTTGGCCCTTTACCATCTTGCAAAGGTACCTGCTTACCATCATCGATAGATTCACTCGGTGGATCGAAGCTGTACCTCTGGAAGACCAAACTGCAGAGTCCGTCGCACATGTCCTCATCGCGACTTGGATTTCGAGATTTGGAATCCCAAAGAAGATAACATCTGACCAAGGTCGGGAATTTGACAGCGAACTCTTCAGATCCTTGAGCAAATACCTAGGTTTCAAGGCTAACAGCACCACGGCTTATCATCCACAATCTAATAGGTTAATCGAATGACAACATTGAACCTTGAAAAACAGCCTAAAATCCCACCTGCAAACGTCAAATTCTTGGACTGATGTTCTACCTTTGATTTACCTTGGCATTCGAACCGCCATTAAAGAGGATTTGCGTTGTTTTTCTGAACTTGTCTATGGTTCACTAATCTGTTTGCTTGGAGAATTTTTCAGTTATGTACCCACTGTTACGCATTCAGATTTTATACAAAAATTGCAGAGTCACATCCAAAACCTAAAACCAACAACTAACCATAAAAAAAAAAAAAAAAAAAAAAAAAAAAAATTCATGCACAAGGACAGCAAATTGTTCACACGTATTCATCTATAATAACATAATTTCACCTTCTCTTCATCCACCCTATCTCGGACCATATTTAGTTAAAAAAGTCTTGAGAAATTTTTCGATGTGGAAGTTTCAGGTAACATTAAAAGGATATCGATAGATCGACTTTCTCAAGAACGAAATAACAACAAATCTCCAGACACACAAAGGGCCCACCAGCGGCCGAGCGGTAAAGTCGCTGAACACTGGTAGTTCGGTCTGAGGTTCGAATCCCGCGAACGGGCTGGCTGCATGGGTGTTTTCGTGGTTTTCCCCATGTGTAACGTGTATACGAGCCAGTTTCCCTTAGAAAGTCATCCATGAAGGCATCCCTCCCCTTAGGCAGATAGCCCTAGTGTGCTTTGCCATAATTAAATACACCACACACACACACACCAGACACATGAAGCTGATAACTCCAAAATCTTACCTCCACTTCCTAGAAACAATGATTCTTCTTAAGATATTCATCCTAGAAACACAAAAGCTGGACGAAGGGTGAGATTTCCGGCATACCTGAAAGAGTACGAGGTATAAGGCTATCACTGGGAAGGGGGTGTGTGGCGACATCATTCGCGTTAATAAAGCTTCATCTGTGAAACTTCTCGCATGCAATTTTCTTTTAGCCAGAGTGGCAACAGTAAAACTTCGACAAGAAAAAGAACGATGATTTTCTGCCTGTATTAGTCTATATCCAAAAAATGTAAATAAATATTAATCTTTTTGGAGTCAGAACGGTGTTAAACATTTTCCTATGTTCCAGACTTCCACACCATAATATATACATAAACAATTACTATAATAGCTGAAAACTTATTGAAGAAGAAAATTCGTTATACATAGGAATAGGGGTTTTCCAAAGAAACTGAATGATATCCAATTGGAAATAGGTAAATTTGGTTTTCAGTGTAAAGGTGAAGTACTAGTTCTCAAATGGAAAGATAAACGAGATGTTAGAATGGTATCCACCTTACACAATGCTGATATCGTCGAGACTGAAAAAATGACTAAAAAAAACTAGACAGCAAGTTCGTAAGCCTGAGTGCATAATGAAATACGATCAACATGTCTACTAATCAATATCTTTCATATTATTCATTTCTGCAAAAATCTATCAAATGGAGTTTTAAAGTTTCTTTACTTTGCATACTTTTCAATTTATTTATTTTGTATTATAAGCTCAAGTTAAATATGAAAATAACTTTTTCGAAATTCTTACAAATTCTGGCAGAAGAATGGATTGCTTTTGCTACTGAACATTATAATTCCGAAAATTTACCATGTAATAGCTCACCCTGATCCTCCCTTATAGGCTTTAAGGTTACATAGTAACACACCAGCGAGAAAGAATCGCACAGTCGAGAAAATCAAAGTATTCACAAAAAATGTAGTAGTCTGCAAAATACGTGGAAAAAACATCATACTTCATATACATGCAAATTATGTACACTGTGTAAAAAAAAAAAAAAAAAAAAAAAAAAAAAAAAAAAAAAAAAAAAAAAAAAGAGTTCTATATCTCCTGTTCTACTGTAAGATATGTATTAGATTTATATATTTTTTACGTATATACATGTTTGTTAAAATTTAAATTTGTTTAAATTTAGGTTCTAATATAGATATATTTATATATATTGTTCTAATATAGGTGTTTTGAGACAAAATTGGTTCTTTTTTCGGAGGAGGGCCCCTTAACAAAGAAAATGGGAACAAACTGGCATCCTGAAAATACTGTTTCAGGACAATGAATGCACTCTTCAAAAACTGGACGTCTGGAAACTCTAAACTTAGAGGATTCTGGGCATGAGGTGCTATAGCAAGGGTTTGCTCAATGCACTGATCCTTATAAAGAGGAAGACAATAGATTTTTATTTATTTATTTTTATTCAGATATGCCATTAGCACAAATGCCAGAGAAAATATGTTTCTTGCTTATTAATTTTGTGTTTCAAATAAGTGTGAAATTTTGTGTTTTCCTCTCTTAATAATACTTTTAGAATAGGCTTTTAGAAATAAAATCTTTATTTAAGCAAATCTTTTAAAAATTCTTAAAAAAAAAAAAAAAAAAATTAAAGTGCTCCTTGAAGCTTCTTTAGGCTTTTAATAAACAAATGAGCAAAAATTGTAAACAAACACATAATATATAAATAAAAGTAAAATGATTAATATACTAAATCAAGCTTCATTATACAATATATTCAAATTTTAAAAGGCCAAAAAATACTTTAAAAACAACACTTTAAGGAAAATAATGATAAATTTATAAAAACTAAAATTAACAATAAAGTTAGTACTGTTATATTAATCACTGGAAAACAAGTCGAGTTTGTCCTTTATATCCAGGTAATTTTTCATACCTAAGTCTTCTAGTTTGCCTGGGAGTTAATGAAATACTCTCCATTGAAACGGAAGGTGAATCTGTAAAGTACCAATCCACATTTTTTATAACAACTGACTTTTGTAATACCAGAAAGATTTCAAAATTGAAATGATTCATTAACTTATTTGGCATACTGAAGAAATAAATAAGAAATAGCAATATTTAAAATAAATTTTAATGCATTAAATATGGCAATGGACCTTTCTGCATTAAAAAAAAAAAAAATGTTTTATGAGCATGTGTAAAGAGATCAAATTTTCACTTGAAATTTGCCTACAACTTAAGAATATAAAATACTATAATGAAAATGTTTAGGTCACATACTCTAAAAATGACTAGTATTCCTCAGAATATAATTGCTTGACACTGAACAATTATCCTTCTAAAAGATGACCTATCACCTCTATGGAAGACCAAAATAACCTAGCTGTAACTGTAATTCAGTGCTTCATACTTTAAAAACTAACTTCAAAAGATATGTTGAATCATCGTGAAATTGTCCGAGTTCTTGAAAACTCAAAATCATTTTCAAATGTAAAAGGATTGATTATAAACTTGAAAACATAAATGAATGCATTAATTCTAAAATTTATTTGTCTACTTCATTTTTAGGCAAAATACAAACCTGCATCTTCCCCAGCTTCTACAAACTTTGCAGTTTATAAATTGTAACATAAAAGAAATATCAATTTGTGATTAAACAAAGATTAACATTATAGATGAATGTATCGTACTTCATTACAAATATTATACATGAAGGATTAATACATCTTGAAGTTGTAATACCAAGAAGCAAAAATAAGTTTATGCGATTTGGGAGTTCTTTAGTGTAGCTAAGGCTTGCAAATGATCATGTTCTTAAGCACTAAACTACAATACTCAACTTGTAAGAAAGGTTTAGATATATGAAAGCCTTATTGAATCTAATTTTTTCTGCCATACAAGATTTCAGAAATTCGATTAAGTCTTATGGAATGACATCAAGACATCTTGAGTTTGTCAATGTGCTAGTTACCATCACTTATCTCAAACAGAGAAAAACAGAATCTCTAAATTCAGAGATGTCAGTTTATCCCTCTTATTAATTGCTATACAATTAAGTTGAAATGTTCAACATAGAATTGCCCAGCAACACTGTTCAAGATAGAACAATATATAAGGACACTGTTCAATATGTATAATTGATTCCAGTGGTTGCAAGAACAACAGATTAGGATCACAACCAGCAATGGCCAGAGAAAAACATCTGTTGAGATAAATACATTGCCCAACAACTAATTTATGAAAATTTTATTTCCATCAACTGCACAATGACAGAAAAAATTGGTACTATAAAGGTTATTGCAGAGCAGGATCTCTTATCTGTGCAAAAGGCAGAACACTTGTGTTTGTGTATGCATCTGCTTAATATGATCAAAAATGTTTCTTTATTTTAATTTTTAGTTTCTTTGATAATTTTCATAGTTTTCCAGTATTTTTAGAAATCAAACTCATAACTGCTCAAAATACCTCTAAGACTATTTACATGTTCCCGCAGCATCATGTGACAATTGATAACCGTCCTCTATCAGCATTATACTTCTTACCTCAAGGGGCATTTCAGTTGATTTTCATGCATCATGCACCTATGGTGACAATAATTCAGACAGCCTGATCACATTTTACAAAGCATGATAATTTGGCAAAAGTGTTAGTTAAAGCTGGAGTTGTTTTTTATTCATAAGTGCAAGCAGAAAATCTTGAAAGAAAAATCACATTATCAGTTTCTGAAAATATTACTATGAATTTTGAAATTTAACAGCAAGTATTGACTGCAGAATGTCTGTAAGACATCATTTGAGAGCTTAAGAGTTGTGGCCAAGTAGCTGGATTGCTCACAGCAGTGTAAAGTGTTATTCAAGTCGCCACAGCAGTAAGCATGTTAAAGAGCATTATCTTATGCAAGAGTTCCGTTCACAGCTGCGACACAGGATCTAAGCCACACTGAATTACAGAAGCTAAATTTGCACATGTGTTTGGATGTGTCTACAGCTTTCCCGCTCTGTTTTCCCATTCAGGTTTCGTGCGTTCGCTCTTATTAGTTGATGCTTATCTTAAGTCAGCATAAAGTTGGAAACTTCGAACTTTATGCTAAGAGCCCTAAACCAGATTTTGTGATGTAGCATAGACTGGTTGCCTAGCAACACAGCTCGGCTTAAACCACTTATGCCCTTTATACCATCGCAGCTTTAAAGAATGCTGCTAAAGGTGTAAGTGCTGCATAAAAGCAGGTTGGAGGCTGTGGAAGGATCATCATATCTAAAAAGGATAGATATGTCACCCTAGAAGCAAAAAGGAACTGAAATACTAGCACTGGCTAGATAGACACAGACACTGCCAAAGCTATCAGCACTCGCATATCTGCAAAAATATTTCTTGGTATAATGTTGGTTTATATGCATGCATTCTACTATGGAATATAGTATAATATTCATACTACATCATTATCTGGAAAGATTACATTTGGTGTAAGGAGCATATTTGTTGGGGTCAGCTGCAGAGTAATGTCCTCTGACGAAATCCCATTTTATTAACAGTGATCCTAGACACAAATTAGTATGAAGAGAGAGAAGAACTCATTATCATCATCAGAATGTCTAAGAAATTGATTGCTATGGCTGAGGAGGAATTGCATGGTCAGATATCATGCAAGGGGCAGAACTTCTCTTTAAACCTTTGACAGAGGTATAATGACATCACAGTGGAAAACACCATAATTCTTCTGGGTTATATCTGTCTTTTTCATGTTGCAATTGGTCCAAACTCTGTTTACAAATGAGAATGCACACCTGAACATACCAACTGAAGTGGGTAACACACTAATAGGGAAAGATATTGAATGCATGGCTTGTCTTGCATATTCTACTGACCTAATCTCATACGGCATGTTTGGGATGCACCAGACAGACATACTGCTCAAACACAGAAACCACATCAAACAGTAAGGGACTTAAAATAACACTCAGGAAAAAGGGAAGAAAATCTCCCTAGCTCTCCTCAAAAGTTTAATGGACAGCATACGTAACAGATGCCAAAAATGCATCAGTTTCCAAGAACATCGTACATGATATTTTAGAACCTCTGTAAAATGTGTGCCAGGTCTAATTTATTTAAACAATATCTGCCTTTAAAACCACCATTCTCAAAGATTATCATAATGCACATCTATGTGGCAATGGAGGTTAGAATGGAAAATCATTCCTTTCAACAATGAGTCTTAACATTTCTCAGAAATAGTGACAGTTGAAAATTAATCTGTAAATCATTGTGGCGATAGCCATGAACAAGCCTTCATAAGAAAATGTCATAACTGAGCCTGCACCCGGAATTATGATATAGGGTGTATATACAGTAAGCAGACTCCTTGGATCTTTTTCCTTAGTTACACTGATAGTTGAATGTTATGCTAATTTATTTGGTTGCAGAGCCAGCAGTAAGGCCATTTCACAAAGTTTACGAGGAACTGTTTTTCAGTATAGGAATGCTAGGTTACTTGTAACACTTGCTACTGTGCCCATGTGGATTTGATATGGTGCCATGACCTGCCATATCTCCAGACTTAGCTGCCACCAAGACATCTGGGACATCACTGGCGGCCACTGAAAAAGAATGAGCAGCTGCTGAACATAATACTTTATTGTTATTTTATATACTGTGTCAAAATATTCCTCACATAGCATGTTAAGAAACTTAAGTGCATGCATTTCCACATGCAGTGATACTATTCCATAATAAATAAATTAAGGTAATTAGAAAATTCTGTTTCCAAACTTGGGTCATTTTACATATAAATGGCATATTTACCATTCTTGTGAGTTTTAGATTTCTGAGATTTTTTTTCCTTCATATAGCAATTTCAGTGCTTAGTATTGCACATTATAATACTCACAGTACATTAATTGTTTATGATGCTCATTCTCAGAATTCAGCCACACAAATTTCTCATTTATTTTAGTTGCTAAATATTTAACTTTTTTCCAACTTTTGTATTCACTATTAATATAGTTGTATCTTGGTATATATCCAACTTGGTATATTTGGAAGCAAACATTTTTGTTTGGTATATACCTTTGCAAGCACTACCTTTGGTTACCTTTTTCGACACAATGCCACGTACAGTCCACCTAATATAAGAAATGCTCTAGTGATACTCTATTTAGGTAGTGGCAGTTGCTATAGTAACAGAGATAGTATATTTGACTAAGGGGTGAGCAAGTGAATTTTTATTTTTATTTTTTATTTATTTTTTTTTTGGCAAATGTTGGCAGTGAGAAAGAGTTTATCATTCAGTAAACTGCCCACATAAATAACATAACTATTCAGTAAAATAACTCGCATTACAATTCTAAATTTCACATGCTTTTGGATTTTTTTCACATAAATATTTTCTGAATTCATCAACAATGAGTTTTAAGAAAATTAATTAGAGATCATTGAAAATTATGAACATAGCATGTGTACTGGCTATTGCATATTGTATGTTAAGAAAGATGGTATCTATGATCGTGAAAAACAAAAATGATATTAAACCAGCTAATATTGCAAAGAGAGTGAAATCTATTACCAAACAAGAATCACTAACATTGAAGCATATTATGAAATTGCTTTTGATTTGGATGACAGCAAAAAATGGCAAAAGCACATCAGAGACAATAATTTATGCAAAGGAAAAACTGATACATATGCAAATCTTTCAAAAAACAAGGCAAGAAAAAGCAAAGGAGGTGAAGTGTAAAAGTCACCAATGTCTGGTTTGATAATTGGACTCGCATTTACAGTGCTATGATACATGGAGAGGGAAACAGTCAATATAAAGATGTTAGTGGTTTCATTAAAGAGTTTAGAGATTTTGTAAAGATTAAGGGCTTTGTTTTCCATATATATATATATATTAATTTGATGACACTGGCCTGTTTACAAAGATAATGCCTAGCAGAATCTATATTACACAAGAAGAGAAGGCATTGTTAGGGCATGAGCTAATGAAGGACATGCTTACTCTCTTGTTAGGAATACAAGATTCTACTTGGCAATAGAAGTAGGGATTGCAAAGTGCAACCACTATTGATCTATCACTCTGAAAACTCAGTGGTCTTTAAGAAACATAACACATAGAAAACTCATTTACCTGTGATGTGGAGGTCAAACAACAAGGCTTGGGTAATAGGACAATATTTCAGCAAGTGGTTTGATATTGTGTTTGGGCCAACTGTAAAAAGTTATTCAAAGGAAAAACAAATGCCTCTGTAGGCTCACCTCATCATGGGCAATGCTCCAATTCAGCCTCCAAATTTGCAGGACTATGCGTGTCAGAGTTTTAGTTCATCAATCTAAAATTTCTTCCCCAACACAATTTCTCTCATTGAGTCCATGGAGGATTATCAATAATTTCAAGAAATGACTATCATGCTTTCAGAAGTGCTTTGAAGTGGCCTGTGGCACAAAATTAACTCTAAATGAGTTTTAAAAAGATCAGTCTTCTACCTTTCATTACAAGGATGTAAAGCAAAGCTGTTCACTGAGCAACTCGAAAAGAAACAACACAGGATGACAAGACTAAGATGGCTACACTTTTCTCAAACTCAAATTAAAAGGAAGATGAATATCCTACTTTATTAATCAACGAAGATTTTGCCAAATGAATGGATGTCAAAACTTCAAGCAGAAAAGTACTATACTAACGCAGCTCAAACAACTAGTAACAGCATTGTCTAGAACAGTGATGGTGAACTTCTGATATAGATGTCATAATTGGCATGAGAACCCATTCTGGTCAGAGCTGTACCTAAGGTTTTCAGCATCTGAGGATATCTGAAGATTTTGTGTCCCCTTTGCAAAGAATGGAAAACATTTCATTCTAAAATTTCGTAGGACCAGTTTGGTGTCTCCTGGATGCAGCGCCCAGGGATAGATGTTTCCCCTTACCCCACCCTAGCTACGCCACTGATTTTGGTTGATGTGCATCATGCGTTTCCACAGCCAGCAAGGAGACACAAAATTGTATAATTCAAAAATATTTGTCTCTTGCAATAGCCTCGTCATTATCAACATGTGCCACACTTACCTAGAGTGCTTTCTTGGTAAGCAAATGCACTTGATCACTGTGTTCATTAGAAATGGTAGACAAAGGTTATACAGGTCTAGAACGACCAAATAATGTCACATTTCTAAAACATGATGATGAGAAGGTACAAGCAAAGTTCTTTGGACATATGTTTACTGAAGATCAGACTTGGTGATCTTCAACCAGTTCCAAACAGAGATCTGGCAGGAAAAAAAAAAAAAAAAAAAAAAAAAAAAAAAAAAAAAAAAGGACAGAAAAGAGGTAAATAGATTTGGTAAAGTTTTACTTATATACACTATATATTTTACCTGCTGCATTTGTGTTTTGTAAGCAGTAAGTAGGACATTTTTATACCAACAGATTAAATATTTTCTTTTTATTTCTTATTGGAAACATTTGTTCAGTATATTTTAACATCTTCTCATTGTAAGTAGCAGTCTTTATAACTAGTCATGAAGCAATATTTTTCACAACATTCATTAACTAGGTAGTGAACATTCCCTTACATAACTTACCTTGTCTCTAAGTTAATACAGAAATTAAAATTACTCAAAATATTTAATAACATTAAACAATTTTGTGATATTGTACATTAATGAAACATGAAAATTATGCATTTACTTCTATAAACTACAAATGTCTTAAAATACCTTTCATAATTTTACAGTTTAAAATATTTAATTTTATAGCTCCAAAACTACTTAAAAACAAAAGATAAATTTCATATTTTAGCAAGAATATTTAACTTTAAATAAAACATAACATACACACCTGATAATTGGAAGAAATCATTTTCAGAATAAACTTCTGTGTTACAAAATTCATGCTTTGTTCTTGTAAGGTCCTTTATAGGCCCACTGAATAAAATTCCAGGATTATTTGAAACTTCAAACCCATTTAAGCTGTTATCAAATGCAGAAATGTCAGACTTTACTGAAATATGATTTGCTAAATCTTGCTTTTCTACTGTTTTAGAAAAAACACCTTTTTGTATACGAAAAGACTTCTCTAGAGGTGATGAAGGAGAGCATGAAAGCATATTGTGATCTTTAGGTGCTACATGATCACTTGATTTTAGCTTTTTCCTAGGCATATACAAAAATTCCTTCTGATTAAATACCTTTTTCGCACTAGTTTGTGAAGGTGAAGTTATTTCATCATTATGAAAGCTTCCATTTTTAGGGCTAATTTTAGTATTGCTAAAGGAACTCATTAATTTTGGTGAAACTGAATTGTTATTTTCCGATTTTAGCTTTTTCCTAGGCATATACGAAAATTGCTTCAGATTTAATACCTTTTTTACATCAGTTTGCGAAAGTGAAGTTATTTTATCATTATCAAAGCTTCCAGTTTCAGGACCAATTTTAGTAGCTGTTAAACAATGGTTCACTAATTTTGGTGAAACTAAATTTTTATTCTCCTTGTCTCTTTTACAAAATTTGTCAATAAAAATGGAACTATTCGTAATATCTAGAGGGGTAGTCTCTGCATCATCAAAAATATTGAAATTATTATCAGTGCAGTTTCTGACATCAGCAACTTCTCTTGTCTTAGCAAAAGGAAATTCTGTTACAGATTCAGCAAGAATGGAATTTTGGGTACATTGTGAGGAAGTGCATGGAAGAGAATTTCCTTTATCTCTGCAGCTACAAAGTTCTTCCTCCCTATATCTACAATTTTCTTCATCTCTATGTTCTTCATCTTCGTAACTAGAATTTTTTTTGTCACTGTAGCTATGATGTTCATCATCACTATAGCTATAATAATCATCCTTGATTTTATTTTCAGACTTTTGGAAGGCAATATTTAAATTATGTGGGGCAACTGTGCATGACAGAGACAAATAATCTCTATCAATTTCCTCAAGAGTTTTTTCATGAGTATTCAAATAAGTGACTTTATTATTTGGTTTAAAATCAGAACTTTCTTGTAATGAGTTAAAAATATCAATTTCACTGCAACCTGGAAAGTGCACACTTTGATATTTACTACCTGATGACAACGATAAAAAATTTATTTCGGTATTATCCCTATTTGGTTCCCAAACAACATTTTTTCCTTCAATATTACCAGGGTTGTTCTTGAGATTTTTTAAAGATTTATAAATGTTTTCCTTAACTGGATTTTCAGTCAACCTGAAAGTCTTGTGAACTGTAGAATAAAAATACTGAAAACAGAAGACATAAAAAAAGGCTTACAAATAATAAAGTGCAATTTTTTATGCTACACAGATAACTGACTTAAGAAAATTAACTTTATCATCAAAAATTCTTCTGGACATTTAATAATACATATTACATTTATTACAGGTACATTGCGGAAAAAAAAGGGGGCGTCAGTTGTATATCTCCCATTTTACTGGGCCGATTAACGAAATTCAACTTGGGCTTTTTATGTCTCGAAAATGCGACTTAGGACGTGTATTAAATTTATATATAGCATTGTTCCAATATAGGTACTTTGACACAAAATCAGAGTTTTGCTGAAATGACATAACAATTTTTTTTTCCATATTTCAATTATACAACTCAAATTATGCCAGACTGCCAAGTTCTGTAAAATTCCCATGAGTAATTAAGACACAATAACACGCCGAATAAATACTAATTCAGAAGTCAAATAACAAAAATCAGCGTTATATTTACAAAATTTTCACAGGACTAGTTTCAATGGTTTTACCAAACCACCATCCTCAGCTGCAAAACCGCAAATGAACAAGATAGGAAATAATGATTAGATAAGATAAGAAAGTCTGGACAAGAATAAGCAAGTGGCGCCATCTGTTGGTGAAACCAGAACTAAAACATAATTTTTTTAAAGGCCGAAGGCAAATTTGGATTGGAATTAGGATCATTAACTAGAACAGAAAGATTTTATGAATGTGAAATGCCTCTAGAAAATCCAGTTCTCCAATGGAAGATGTTTTTTGAATAATTTTGGCAGCAGAAAAATTGAAAGTGTGGTTTTCGGACCAACAATGTTGAGCAACAGAAGACTTTTGTGTTTCCTTTTTTCTAACATATGCCTCATGTTCCTTGACGCGAAATTTTAAGGCTCTCTTAGTTTGGCCAATGTAAATTAAACCACACTGGCAAGGAATCCTATAAATACCCCAGGAATTCATATCCGGAATAGGGTCCTTGAGTATGGAACTCGGAATTTAATTGATGGGAGAATAAACAACCCGAAAGTTAAATTTCTGCAAAATATGTGCAACTTTATAGCTAATTGATGGAAAAAAGGGAATGACAACAGAATTTTTATAATCTCCTAAAGCAAGAGTGCCTTTTAGTGTGTTGAGATGAGAATTTTTTAACTGCTTGATTAATAATGTTGGGTGGAAAGCCCCTGTCAATAGCTATTGCTTTTAAATAATTTAGTTCTTCATCAAGGGCTAGTTTGGAGGAGCAAACTTGAAGAGCACGGAAAACATAAGAATAAAATGAAGCTAACTTTTGTTTAGTCGGATGACATGATTTAAAGTGTGGTGGAAGGCAAACCGATGAAGGTTTACGGTAAACCGTAGTACTGAAGTTGGATGTGTTACGTGTGACCAGAATGTCGAGAAACGGAAGAGAATTGCAAGTCTCAAGTTCAAAAGTGAACTGAATAGCAGGATCAATAGAATTCATTGTTGAAAGAACTTTATTTAAATCATCTTTATTACCTTCAAACAGAGTAAAAGTATTGTCTACATAGCGGAACCACGCCGGGAAGTTTAAAGTTTCAAACAATTTTGATTCATGATAATGCATGTAGATATCAGCCAGGATGGGACTGAGGGGGCTTCCCATGGCTAATCCCTGAGTTTGCTTGTAATATCTATTTTGGAAAACAAAATGTGTTTGTTTCAAACAGAGTGAGTGAGAGAAATTAGCTCATCAATTTCGATGCAAGAGAAATGAAATTCGCAAAGTCTGGTTTCTAGACATCTTAATGCACCCTCCACTGGGACATTGGTGAATAATGATTTTACATCAAAAGAAACCACGAGTAAATTACTAGGAGAAATGTTTTTAACTTTTTTTACAAACTCTATTGAATTTTGTATGGTGTAAATGTTATTGTCTAATAGAGTTGAAAATCTAGAAATTAAATATTTAGCTAATCTTCCAGTTCAAGTAGTTCAAAAAATCTTCCCATTGTAAACATCAAGCCAATAGTTAATATTTCTAATGTTAGTCTTTCAGAAGAACAAGAGAGAATTCTAAAATATAACTTTAACTTCTCACAAACCTGTAAACCCTCGATTCCAAAGATTTTGGCTCCTATCGAAAAAGGTTTCAAGTTCAGTAAAGTTCCAGATTCACAGAAAGAAATGATTAGGCATCTTATCGCTCATAATGTGAAATTCAATAATAAACCTTTGAAACCAAATCTAACTGCGACAGAAAGAGCTACATTGCATGAAATTCATTCTAACCCGGATATTATTATTTCAAAGGCCGACAAAGGTGGCCAGATAGTCGTCATGGATTGGAACACTTACACCGATGGTGTCACTAAACTCTTAAACGAAGGACCATATAATCCGATCCCTAAAGATCCTCCACCTTCGGACTTGTCAAAAATAAAAACTGCGATCAAATCTTCGCAAATTATTTCAGGCAACTTAAAACATTCACTTATCCCATCTGTTGCGAATTGTGCCAGATTATATGCTCTTCCCAAAATTCATAAAAGTGGTATTCCTTTCCGCCCTATTGTATCAAATTTAGGTACTGCCTCGTATCCATTAGCTAAATATTTAGTTTTTAGATTTTCAACTCTATTAGACAATAACATTTACACCATAAAAAATTCAATAGAGTTTGTAAAAAAAGTTAAAAACATTTCTCCTAGTAATTTACTCATGGTTTCTTTTGATGTAAAATCGTTATTCACCAATGTCCCAGTGGAGGGTGCATTAAGATGTCTAGAAACCAGACTTCGCGAATTTCATTTCTCTTGCATCGAAATTGATGAGCTAATTTCTCTCACTCAACTCTGTTTGAAACAAACACATTTTGTTTTCCAAAATAAATATTACAAGCAAACTGAGGGATTAGCCATGGGAAGCCCCCTCAGTCCCATCCTGGCTGATATCTACATGCATTATCATGAATCAAAATTGTTTGAAACTTTAAACTTCCCGGCGTGGTTCCGCTATGTAGACAATACTTTTACTCTGTTTGAAGGTAATAAAGATGATTTAAATAAAATTCTTTCAACAACGAATTCTATTGATCCTGCTATTAAGTTCACTTTTGAACTTGAGACTTGCAATTCTCTTCCGTTTCTCGACATTCTGGTCACACGTAACACATCCAACTTCAGTACTACGGTTTACCGTAAACCTTCATCGGTTTGTCTTCCACCACACTTTAAATCATATCATCCGACTAAACAAAAGTTAGCTTCATTTTATTCCTATGTTTTCCGTGCTCTTCAAGTTTGCTCCTCTAAACTAGCCCTTGATGGAGAACTAAATTATTTAAAAGCAATAGCTATTGACAGGGGCTTTCCACCCAACATTATTAATCAAGCAGTTAAAAAATTCTCATCTCACACACTAAAAGGCACACTCTTATTTTAGGAGATTATAAAAATTCTGTTGTCATTCCCTTCTTTCCATCAATTAGCTATAAAGTTGCACATATTTTGCAGAAATGTAACTTTCGGGTTGTTTATTCTCCCATCAATAAAATTCCGAGTTCCATACTCAAGGACCCCATTCCGGATATGAATTCCTGGGGTATTTATAGGATTCCTTGCCAGTGTGGTTTTATTTACATTGGCCAAACTAAGAGAGCCTTAAAGTTTCGCGTCAAGGAACATGAGGGATATGTTAGAAAAAGGAAACACAGAAGTCTTCTGTTGCTCAACATTGTTGGTCCGAAAACCACACTTTCAATTTTTCTGCTGCCAAAATTATTCAAAAAACATCTTCTATTGGAGAACTGGATTTTCTAGAGGCATTTCACATTCATAAAAATCTTTCTGTTCTAGTTAACGATTCTAATTCCAATCCAAATTTGCCTTCGGCCTTTAAAGAAATTATGTTTTAGTTCTGGTTTCACCAATAGATGGCGCCACTTGCTTGTTCTTGTCCAGGCTTTCTTATCTTATCTAATCATTATTTCCTATCTTGTTCATTTGCTGTTTTGCAGGTGAGGATGATGGTTCGGTAAAACCATCGAAACTAGTCCTGTGAAAATTTTGTAAATATAATGCTGATTTTTGTTGTTTGACTTCTGAATTAGTATCCCATGAGTAGGTTTTAAAAAATTAGCTCTCAAAATTTTAGTTCCTCAATGTTAATTGAATCTGATATATATTTATTAATATCTTTTTTTATAAAACTTTCTTGATTCTATCTTCCAGAATTCGAAATTTAGGCTTAATCCAAATATAATTCACAATTTTTTTTATGATATATTTTAAAAAAAAAATTTTATAAATTTTTCAAAAGAATTTTTAACATCATCTTAAAGTAGATGTATTTCTAGGCATACCTGCGAAAAATTAAGAGTTTTTTATTCGAAATTTCCTTAAGATATACAGTCAAAAGTCTTTAATCTGGACGTCCATTATCCAGAATGATCTACTATAATCCGGACCTCAAAGCTGCAAACTTTCTACGCATGCGTCAATGCATAATGCGTTAATGCATGCGCATAATGCCTTTACACATGCACGTCATTCGTTTACGCATGCGTGTTTAATGTATAATGGACGGTATAAGCTAAGCTAAAATTATCTAATTATTTATTTCAGTCAATGTTGCAGATTGCGTTGTTCCTTAATCTTCTAATTGGATCCGGCTTATTATTTTTTGCAGACTGTTAGAGCAATTTTATAAAAGTAAGCTTGAACTTTTGATTATGTCAAAAAGAATTTCCGATTCTGGAGCTACCAAAGGATCTACAAAATGAGCAATTTTACAAAAGTAAGCTTGAACTTTCGATTATGTCAAAAAGAATTTCCGATTCTGGAGCTACCAAAGGATCTACAAAGCAAAAGAATGTTTCGATGTCCATCAAACAAAAAGTGGAATTGCTGCAAAAAATTAATAAAGGCATATCCTTTGATTCTCTGACCATTCCTCCGAAATATGTTTATTATGGCGGGGACGCGGTGTGCAATGAACTGGAAGTTGATCTGTCAGCACTATCCTTATCTTCAGAGCAGATTTTTTATTTTATTCGGCTTATAATTCCTTACTAAATGTAGTATTTCATCTCGATGTACTCCGTCTTTGATATGATTTAAAATCAAATTCCTCGTCATTATAAATATCAGGAATACACATCAAATAGTTTTCTATTTGCAATTTTCTAATTTCGACTATGCGTAATGTATGCTTTACACATGCGCGCGTTGAAAGACATGCTTAATAAAGTAAACAAATAAATATTAAGCTTTTTTTTAAAATTTTGATACCCTTTAGATCATAATTGCTCTTTATTTCATAAATTACAGTTTCATACTTTAAATTTTATAATTTCTGCATGCCATCTTGCCAGATTTAAACTGATGATCTATAATCCGGAATCGCCAAAGTCCCGACAAGTCCGGATTAAAGACTTTGACTGTATATGAATTTACATATTGTCGTGTTTTGAAATTTGGCATATTTATTATGAGTGATTATGGTTCCTGCACTTTGTAAAAATTCTTTGAAAGTATGAATGATGACTTTTTTCCCCGCTTGTGTACACTGAAATGAATGGAAAGAAAATTAGGTTGCTTATAAATTAAGAAGTTTGCCAAGTGAATTAATCTTGGAGCAAACTGAAAAAAACACGGCAAGATAAATTTTTAAATTTCTGACCAAAAATTACAAAATGTAATGTTTAGGCATAATTGGAGTCGTAGAATCGAAATATGGAAAAAAATTAGCACGTCATTTCAGAAAAAGTCCAGTTTTGTGTCAAAATACCTATATTAGAACAATGCCTTATATAAATCTAAAACATATCATAAGTCGCGCTTTCGAGATATGAAAAACACAATTTGAATTTGTCCAACTGGCCCAGTGGAGCGGGAGATATACAACTATCCCCCACTTTTTTTGCACAGTGTATATACATAGTAATTATTTATGTGTATATACATAATAATAATTATTTGTGTCACTACTATCCACTGTCTTGTAAATATTACAAAAGTACATCAGCTACTATCAAGCAATATGGGCATAGGTATGATATAACCAAATATGTACTATAAAACATTTGTAACTACATATTTTAAGTTATAGACTTCCAATACTATTAGAATTTATATTTCTGCAAAGCATATTTATGAATCTTCTGTGAAACATCTTACTTAAATCAACTTTCAAAATACTTTAGTTTGATACAACCCATGGTTTGAAAAAATTAATATTGCTGACATTCAAGAGCACCTACTTTTTGACTGCCCTTTCCTTAATTATGAAAGAATTCATTGAAATGTAGATTAAAATTAATTGTCCATTAAAATGCCATGATTTTGTTTCTTTATCTCAGCCTACCATGCTTTTAATGATTTTATCGATGTTTATTTTGAATGTTGTAAATTATTTTTATATATTCTTCTTCTTTTTTATGTATGTCAAAGATGTTTGAATTAATTGTATTATTTAAAGTTGATGTGCCTTTTTTTACTTACATTTTTATAAGCCTCATATAATACTTTGTGGTGCATGAGGAAATATATTTTTTTCCATTTAAAAAGAAAGAAAGAAAGAAAGAAAAGAAAAGAAAAATGAAATCTGAAGGCTTTCAGATTTTATATTATGCCCAAACGGTGTTTTTTTTTCAAATGGCATTTAAAGCCGGATTTGAAAAGCGATACAGACATTCAAAGTCATTCGATGTAAACTATTGTTAGACACTGTAACTCCCTTGCATTGCTATGCTACCAACATAATACCAGTAAGAAGTATAAAGAAACCTTATGCATAAAATATTTGTGCTTGAAGATGCACACAATGTTAATGGAATGCTTTGAAATCATTGAGTTTGTGAATCAAAAATTTGTTAACATTTTACAAAATATGAAATAGATAATAAAAAAATTCTAAATTTGAGCTTCCAGATGCCGATATTTGAGTGGAGTTCTTAGTAGTAGAATGTTATTCAAAATTTGATGTGTCTAGGTACTGTTGTTTTTCACAATGTGAGAAACATACATACATTCATGCAGATTTTTCATTTAATTTCTTTAAATAAAAAGCAAGGCTTTACCATTTGGTGGCAACAATTTGAAAGGTGATTCAGACTTTTATAATGAACCGACGCAAAATTATTAAAAAAAAAAAAAAAAAAAAAAAAAAAAAGGCATTCAAGAGCAGAAAGAAGTATGTCATGCCATACTTAACTGAGAGTAACATGTAAAATTAAAGTAAGGCAAAAATAGCAGCTTAGCATAAAATCTTGTGTTAGTTTCAAGCCCTATTTATAAATGTAGTATTGATAAAACTATGAAATGTTCAGAAAAAAAGTTTTAATAACATATTTGCATGCTTTTAAGATAAAGGATTTTTTTTTTTTAATGGAATGATGAAATAGGATATAAGTTGAGAGAATTGCTTTGGTTTCTTTTTTTCTCATCAGTAAACTGGCAGATGGAAAATTTTGAAGAGAAAATATTTTAAGAAATGAAAAATGGGAACAAAAGTGTTGATTGCATCTCATGACAGACAAATATGATATATCAACAAGAAAGAAGAAAGTTGAAAGTAATATTTGAATAATCTTACATCTGCACTTTTCAAATGAAGCAAATCCCTCATATCCTAACAATATTTTGAAAATATTTGAAAAGAAGCAGAAAGAAAAGAAGAATTTAAGAAATTTAAATAAATAAAAATTAAATGTAATATTTGGAAAAGCCTGAAAATTTAAAAATTAATTATAAATCTTGCATTAAACATGAAAGAGAGCAACTACAAATATAAAAATAGAAACTTACATATTTCAAAATATAAATAGCAGCAGTTTAAAAGAGAGCTAAATAAAACTTGAACATTCTATTTCTGCTTTTAAAAATGTTTTCTTTTTAAAAAAACTTTAATATCTATTATAAATAAATAAATTTTCTGTGGATGCTAAAACAAAGAAGAAATTTTACATTACAAAGTATTATTTTATGTTATATTTCTACAATTATAACATACAAGGGATGAAAGCTTATTTCATACTTACCTTTAAAAATCTTTGAGGTACAGTAAAAAACTTCTGACACAACTGAAAACAACTCATATTTAATAAATGAGTAATCGTAGTAGAAGACACCATCATACAAACCCTATAAAATATTTATTATGAAAAAGTAGTAAATAATACAGGGCAATGAATTTCAATTTTATTTAATTTTATAACTTTGATTAATAATATAAATAGTCTAATACATATTCATTAATTTATCTACCATTTGGCTCAAAATATGAGGAAAAACAAAACGAATTGAGAATAAACAAATTAATAACCATGAAGTCACTATATTTCTAAGATATTTTAGCAAGTCACTATAAAAACAATTAATGCATATATGACTGATTATATGCTAACTGACTTTTATAATGGTTCATTTAAGTTCATAATAATTATTAATTTCGATAATGATATAAAATCAATTATGCTATAATTATTAATTTTTAATAAGTATTGTAAGAGTTTTTGATAAAGTATTCAAGTTAAAAATTTCTTATGTATGTATATATGCCCTTATTTTAAAAGCTACCTATAAAATCACAGTTAACAGAGTTGATGTCAAGCAGAAAATTATTCAACTACTATTCATTATTTATATAGCTAATCCTGAAAACCCCAAGGCAGTTTAATTTCCAAATTTTAAAAGCATACCTTTGACAGATCCTTATATGCATTGATTGCATAAGTAGACATAAGGTAAACTTTTATTTTAAAAATACATAAAAATTTCAGACCAAGTTTATAGCTAAATTCATATACAAAACTATGATACTTTATATTAGATAAATATAAAATTATTAACAAATTCATAAGAATTTATAGCTATTAAAATGGAGGTTGTGTTATTTGGATTATGGCAAAACATGCAACAGCTGTTTGTCATAGGTAGGGGTGGGCACATAAGGACTCACTAAGAGTATTTTGTGGCCCACTAAGGCAGTCAGAAAAACCTGCCTCAAGCCAAGATTTCCTTCCCAAAGTGCAACACTAGGATAGCGATGCTAATAGGCATGTGCAGTGCTTTCCCTGTCGATCTAGTTAATTACGGTTTTGTCTTAGTAACAGTAAATATCTAAATTTCCTACTTTAGTGAAACCATGAACCTTCCGAAATAAAGTAAAATTGGTGATTTATGTTGCGCGTTTACTAATAAATGGGCAAACAAGTATGTCTTTAGTGATACAGAGAATAAAGGAGTGTGTTTGTGTCCCGAAACAATAACCATATTTAAGGAGTACACTCTGAAATGACACCCTGAAACAAAACACAGCGAATATGGTTGCAAACTTTCTAAGGAAGAATGCAAAATAAAAGTTCCAAAGTATGTGAAAAAGCTGAAGAAGCAAGTAACATTATTTACAAAGCAATCAACAATTCAAAATAGCACTACAGAAAAAATTTAATGGTAGCCTACAATCCTGCTAAAACACAACAAGCCATTTTTGGCTGGCGAGTTTATTCAGCAGTATATGGTAGACAGTGCAATTATTATGTCCTGATGTAAGAAGCAAATATGAAAGCATTTCATTGTCAAGAAAGACTACAGTGAAGCACATTGACTCGGTGATGAACTTACAGAACAGCTGCAGACTGCTATCAAAGACTTTGCATGGCTTTCTTTAGCACTGGATAAGAGCATAAATAACAAAGACACTGCACAATTACTTGTCTTTATCCATGGAATAAACAATATTTTTGTCATCATAGATGAATTACTTGGCCTAGAATAAATGAAAGATAGAATGAGAGGTCAGGACTTGCTACAGTGTGCTGTGAATTGTGTAGAGAAAAGTGGCTTGTCCTGGAATAAAAAGTAAACATTGTAACAGATGGGAACAGAGCTTTCAGAGGAAAAAGTATAGTTAAGCTTTTCAAAAACAAGTTACAAGCACAAAACACAGACAGTGATATCTTATCTTTTCATTGCATTTTGCATCAGAACAGCCTTTATAAAGCTGAATTGCATTAAAAGTAGATAGATGCCGCAGATCTATTATTAGTATAGTGAAAGCAAACAGAGCAATGGCACTCCAACACTAACAAACGTCCATTATCCGGAATGACCTAAAATATGGACCTCAAAACCAACAACGTTTTTCTGGTAGGCTTTACGCATGCACATTTGATTCCCCACTCCATGCATAATAAAAACATTTGGAGAGTCCCGATTCCTAATTTCACTTCAACACTAAATAAAATACCTTGTTATTAAGAAACAATCATTTTAGCATAAATTTGTACGATCAGTAATTTGGCTCCATTGCTGCGCATCTACTTGGCACACATCTCAAACAGAAACATTATATATAGATACATTGTTGATCTGACACCAACCTGGTGAATCATTGTTTATTATACTTCCCTTTCATCACCTCGTGTTAATCAATACATGACAACTTGAATAATGAATCATGCAGCGATGCACAAACAATTTTTTTTATGTAGCAATTTAATAACAAAGGATTATGGTAACCTTTTATGTTGACATTATGCTTAGCGATGATTACAGATTCAAGTTAAATGCGCTAAAACATCTTGACGAGGAAAAATTTAACAAAAATTTCTTTCTATATGCTAAAAATAGATTTTGTTGATGATACTCATAGATCCAAAGATTATATTTAGGGCTATTTGAATTAAGAATAACTGATTTGTTAATCCCATAAACCTAGAACGAGCACCAGGGTTCGTAAGGCAGCACCGTGTTGCAGAATTTAGGACCCACAGAGACTGCATCAGGCGGTGAGATATCTAGAGCACCGACTAGGCTTACCACATATGGTGGGAATTTATTTATTCAGAACTCTGATAAGCCTTAAGCATGTGCAAGAAATTGAATTATAAGTATAATAAATAACTAAACTAATACAATTCAAGTGTGCAATAGAAGCAAGATAAAATTTAATGGAACAACTTGTCATTAGTCGCCAAGCTCATGATGCATAGACAAATATGTATAGTGAACAATAGCTAAATTTGATGATGATAGCCGCACATTTTAAAGGTTTTCGGATATTGCAAAACAAAGGTGAAATTTTCCAATTAATGGATTTTGTAAAGAAATGTGGAGGAGCAGTAATAAATGAAGATGGCATAAAAGAAGCACCTTTTGAGGTGCAGTTGCCCCTCGCTCCCTATTTTTAACTTCGCTAATTCTTTGTCCTTTGTGTTACATGTTTGATCAGATAGCCTGGCTCAGTAAAAGTTGACGGCCAGTGTAACTCTGATTAAAAATCCGGTTATAACCACGTGCAGTGAGATAAGGACCACGTGTTTCTGAGACTCCTTCCCCTTTAGTTTTCTTCTTTCTAGGTATTTCTTTCTCCTGATGAGGAGGGACCTTTAGCTGCCCTCGAAATCGATTGAGTGTTTCAATATACTTACGCTAAATACAAGGTTGTTTTTACAATTTTGATTGTCACATTTACAATTTTGATTGTCACATTAGCATGTTTTTCTTCTAGTCTGGCAAGACAATTCAAGACTTTTTGAAATTTTTTAGCATAAAATCTGCTATGTGGAGCATCGCAAGATCATGGGAGGATGTGTTTCCAGATACGTTAAAAACTGCTTGGCATAATTTATGACCAGCTACCATATTTCATGGTGAGGACGATGAAGATGATAGCCACGAATTTGAAGGTTTTCGGACATCGCAAACTAAAGATGAAATTTCCCAGTTACTGGATTTTATAAAGAAATGTGGAGAAGCGGTAATAAATGAAGATGATGTAACAGAAGTTTTTCATTGTGAAGACAATGCCCCAATCATCAATCAATTAACAGACGGCGAAATCTGTAGTATGGTTCTAGATCCAGAAAATACCGCTTCTGATAGTGAAGAAAGTGACAGAGAGGTTATTGAAAACGAAAAAATTTCGATTGACAAGTTAGTCGGTATTCTCGACACAGCAATTACAGAACTTGAACAGTGGAACTTGATAATTGGACAAGAAATTATGTCTATTTATAGAATTAAAGAGAAAGTATTAGCACAAAAACGAAGCAACTTAAACAACTTACATTGAAAGAAATGTTTAATAAAATAAACAAATAAATATTAAGCTTTTTTTTTGCAAATTTTGATACCGTTTAGATTATAATTGCTCTTTATTTCATAAATTACGGTTTCATATATTTAATTGTATAATTTCTGCATGTCATCTTACTAGATTTAAATTGATGGTCTATAATCCGGAAAAACCTTAATCCGGAATCGCCGAAGTCCTGACGAGTTCGGATTATGGACTTTATATAATTTTAAAAGTGTTAAGAAGACAACAACAACAAGCAGTTTGAATAAAATTTTTTTATAAACAACAGCATGCATTTTGGTTTGGCGTGGATATAGTTTTCTTAGGATAGCAATATGAGGGTGCCCCAAATAAAAGTATATCAACACTAAAGCATTTAAACTGGAAAATGCACAAAACATTTCAAGTAATGCATGTTAGCATAGTAATTATTACTAAGCCATCTTTCAGTTCAGATATTTTGAGCAACAATAACATGCTAATTAATCTCATAATTGGAGAAAGTAGAAAACAGTCAGCCTGAAATTATAAGAATAGTAAGTAAATTTTTTACAGCTTATATAAAAATATATGGACGAAATATAACACTACTTTTCCTACACAGCATAAACTTATATTAATTAATAACTACTTAGAATTACTTTCAATAACATAAGACTACAGAATATAATACAGGTTATAATTTTTTTTGCATTTTACAATTAAGTGCTTTTTATTATAATGTGAAACATTTGTAGTATATCAATAATTTTTTATTTAAGTGAGGTTTACTGTCAAAAGAAAGTATCTCTTGAAGCTGAGATATTTGATAGTTATAAAATATCCATTTATGAAGAGAAAGAATGAGAGAGAAAAAAAGTAAATTTATAATTTATTAATAAAAATTAGTAATAGATCAAATTAATTCATTAAAATTAAATACTTTTAACTGTAAATATTTTTTGGGCAATAATATACATTGAAATAAACACTGCAAAAGGCAGAAAATTGACAATGATCATTACCAATATTACAAAAAATTTCTCTAAAACAGGCGACAAAAATGCATTCGGAATTTAAATTTTTCATTTTGTCACAAAATCTTCCTTGTTATGATAATGTGTTATAAATTGAAAAAATGTTATAATTTGAAAATAATTTTATCCGAGCTAATGGAATATTTTCACATATAATAATAAACGTGAGGTTTTATCTACTTATTTAATATAGTTAATTTTAAGTTCAGTTACTTTTCTATCATTCTCTTTTCACCCATGCTTTTCATGCCAGAATGTAAATGGGATAATGAGTGTTTATTTAGATTGAAGGAGAAAGAAGGGCTATTTAAGCGAAGGTCACGCAAGTTACTTTTAGAATGTGTTCTGCCTACTTCCGACTACATTGTAACATGATTATTAGCAATTTAAGTCGGTGGCATCGAGTGCTTCTAGCCATTGGGCTTGTCTCACTGGTTTCTACAAGAAAGCCTTTCCTATGCATTTAAATTATCCTGTAAGCCATTAGGTTAATCTATTACATATGAATTAGTTCAACATCATATATTTTATATTTATCAGTTTTTGTATTTTTAATCCTGCTAATTTGTTCACCAGTTTATATATTTATGTTAAGCCAGAAGTGTATGGCTTGTGCAAGCCCAAGTTCGATCACTGTTATTTCTTTGTGTTCAAATAAAATGGCTACTTACACCTTTCTTCTGACTTTGTCTGTCTACAGTTTACAACAAGATTAGAGCTCACTAGTTTATGCTACCAAAGAAAGTGTGACTCTACAAACATATTATAATTGGAAAATAATTTAACTAAGCTAATGAAATATTTTCATATACTACAATAGCACAGTCATTATTACATAACTGCTAATCTTGAAACATGAAAAACTAAGAGCTTCCTCACATGAAAACTGGCAGTTCTCATGAGGTTTGGCACCGTGCAGCAATGCTCTCCTAAAAGAATCTAAAAGGACTTAAATTCCCTTTCTAATACATTATTCAGATTATTTATATTTTATTATACTGGTGTGTAATATACAACCACTTAATCAGATATTCTACATTTTATGTTCTTTGATTAATTTCATTTTGTAATTTTCTTCAGCTTCTGTAATGAGTAAAATCTTCAGAAGGAAAGAAAAGCCTTATTTGTTATATTGTTCATTGTATTTAAAAATACTTAAATAAATAAAGTATTTTTAAATACAATGAACAATAAAATGAATTATTTTATGGACCAGAAATTATTTTATAGACTTTATTTTATAATATGGATAAATATAGTAATGCACATTGATGATATTGATGAAAAACAAAATTAAATATAAATATTAACTAATAAACATTGGTTAAAGCTTATAAAAGGTTCCAATTTCTCCAGTAGATTAAGACAATTCAGATCAAGTAAAATTTAATTTTATGTACTACTGTACAGATAGATATTAAAACTAAATACAAATATTAACTGATTAAACTTTGAAAGATTCTTATTAAAGGTTCCCAAATGACTACAGTAGATTATGACAATTCAGATAAAATAAAAATTAATAAAAAAATATGCTGAAAATCGGTAGGGGTATGCAAATAGAATTTTAATAATTTGAAGTTTAAAAAATTCAATAATTTTTATTTATTTCTAGAAAATGTCTTCTTTAACAAGGTTAAAAATTAAAAACTATGAGATCCGGTAGTCTACCAACAGACAGGAAGACAAGATAGAAAACTAGGAGAGATAAATGGCAGCTATGCTGTTACATATTAAAATGCTTCTTACGTGTATGGATTCAGTGATGGGAATGAAGCCAAGAAAATTTCTTTCTGAAATAATAATTAAAAAGGCATTAATAATATGATAGGAACAATATAATTAACAATCCAATATGAAACAATATCCTATCATATTGTTACTACTTTGTTTAATCAATAAAGATTAACCATTTAGCAAATTTCAAATACAGTAAATAAAACTACTGCATATAATAAATAAATATGCATTACAGAGTTCTAAGAAAGTAGTATAACAGTCATGGCTAAAATGCTACCACAGATAATTAAATTTAAATAAATAGGAATGAATTCATAAAAATAAACAATGATGAGATTTTACTCTGTAATATAGCAGTATAAATACCTAAAATGATGAATAAAGTACTATCAAATTTCATGTAATGTAATACCACTGTCAAAATTAGCACAATACAAGTACATTATTCTAAAGTCATGAAAAAGAAAGAAAGAACGAAAAAGACCGAAAATTTGGTAATCTTTAGAGGCACAAACCAAGATATGTGATGAAACAAAATCTTGAAAACTATTATACTTAAAATAATAATAATAAAAAAAACTATTATACTTAAAATATGAGATATATTTTTGCTTATAAGATTTCTGTTAGCATAAATTTAGGTATTTTGCATAATGAAACTCGAAAGGCATACGAAACGAACGTGCGCCAAGGTATATATTGGCGAGAGAAAGTAAAGCTCGTGTGCAATGCAGTATATTTGATTTTCACCCTAGCTACTTGTACCTGGCCAAAGGTCTAATCCAGTAGTACTTTCTTCTCTTTCAGGTACGATGGGAAAGTATGTTCCTGTTTATTTTTCTTATTGCATAATATAGGTGAGCCTGATGATATTTAGTACTGATGATGATTCTATGTAAGTTATTCTTTTGAATACTTCAATTTTAATGTCCTTGAACATTATTACTTTTGTTATGCTTAAGTTAAGCAGAATTATCCTATTTTATTAAATAAAGAATTCATAGTTAATCTTTTGACTTCTGATTCTTTAATTCTGTGCTTGAGAAAACGTATTGATTACGCCTTCAGTGCTAATGCACAACCAACAAAAGATTATGAGACTGAGAAATTGAAATTTTGTAATGTTGTAAGATTCCAGGGGCATAAAGTCTTTGTTGAAAAAAAAAAACTAGTTACAAAGTTTATAAGAATAATTGTAACAAATAATAATGTCTATTCTAAAAGAATCAATTTGTATAGAAAAATTAACAGATGAAAATTATTCAGTGTGGAAATTTAAAATAAAACAACTTCTAATAAAAGAAGGTTTAGATGATGCTGTATTCGAAGAAAAACCGGAAACTGATACTATTTGGTTAAAGAATGATCGCAGGAACATATCTCTGTAATATAGCAGTGTACTAGAATTGGCTAGAATTGTAAAGGAGTACTAGAATTGGCTGAAAAGCTGCGTAGTATAGGTGAAGAAATTAAAGAAAATAACTTAATAGCAATACTACTATGTTCTTTACCAAATTCATACAACACCTTAATAACTGCAATACAAAGTAAATCGGAAGCTGAATTGTTGCTAGAATATGTTAAAAACAAACTAATAGATGAGTATTGTAGACGTGTGGAAACTAAGAAAGTTCAAAAGTACGATTCAGTTGCTTTAAAAAGTAAAAGCGAAAATAAACCAAAGTATGCTACACAATTTTGTACTTATTGTAAGAGAAATAACCATACGATAAATGACTGTTTTCATTTAAAACGCAACGCTAGAACTTCCCCGAAAACAGATGTAAATAATAGTAAAGTAAGAAATTATTCTCAAAATTATAAAAGTAATGCATGCCAAATAGCAAATACGCAAAGTGTAGAAAACATAACAAAACTTGAAGAAAATAAGTATTTTAAAAAAAGTATTGAAACTGAAAATACACAGATTCAGTTTAATCAAGTTCTAAAAGTGGAAAATAAACATGAAAACACGCAAACGCAAGAATGGGTTATCGACTCAGGAGCCTCATATCGTATGACGAGTGATAAAAATTTTTTCTCTCAGTTAAATGACTCTAATAAACAAATAGTAACTGTAGCCAATGGTGCTAAATTAAATTCTTATGGTATTGGTGAAGGTTATTTTAAAGTTCAAAACTTAAAGGGTCAGGTTACACAAATAAAATTGGAAAATGTATTGTATGTACCAGGTTTAGATAGTAATTTACTTTCTGTTCAATCTGTTACCAATAAAGGTTGCATTGTTACATTTGATAGTAATAAGTGTTGCATAAAGCATAACAATATACTCGTAGCCGACGGCAACGCTCAGCAAGGTTTATATAAATTGACCGTAAACCCAATTGATGAGAAAGCATACTTAGCTAATAATGTTTCATGTTCAAATACGAACTGTATACTAAAATGGCATCAAAGATTAGGCCACAGAAATATAGATGCCATAAAAACACTTGAGAAAAATGATTTGGCAGACGGCATTAAACTTGGCAAATGCACTCATAGTGTGGAATGTTCTACTTGTGTAAAAGCGAAACTAACTGAAACACCTTATCCCAAAACTAGTTTTAGATCTAAAAATCCACTGGATTTAGTGCACACAGATGTGTGTGGGCCAATTGAAGTCAACAGCTTAGGAGGGAAAAGATATTTCGTAACTTTCATTGATGACTATTCACGTTATACTCAAATTTATTTTATTACTTCAAAAAGATGAAGTATTCGACAAACTTAAACAGTACGTTGCATCGACAACAAATAAATTTAGAAAGAAAATAAAGGTTCTCAGATCCGACAACGGTACAGAATACTGTAACAAAAGTACTGAAAATTATTTAAAGAAACTCGGCATTTTTCACCAAACTTCAGTTCCTTATTGTCCGGCACAGAACGGCGTCGCAGAAAGGAAAAATTGCTCTTTAATAGAAATGACAAAAGCTATGCTAATAAACTCTAAATTACCGAAAGGATTCTGGGCTGAAGCAGCAGCTACTGCTGCATATCTTCAAAATAGGTTACCAACTAAAGCCACAGATAGAACACCATCTGAATTGTGGAATGGTAGAAAACCAAACTTAAGTCACTTACGAGTATTTGGCTGTAAAGCATTTTATTACGTGAGCAAACAAAAACGGCGCAAATTCGACAACAGAGCCGAAGAAGGAATATTCATAGGATACGATTCACGAAGTAAGGGATACAGGATTTATGTAGATGGAAGAAAAATAATAGTAAGTAGAACTGTTAAATTTTCAGAAAACGCGTCTTTACCTGACAAACTTGCAGAAAATAATGCTGAAGATTTAGAATTAATTCACTTCAATAACTCGCAAGATGATGAAGAAAATAATGAAGAAACATCTCTTGGCGATGATTTTACAGAAGATTCAAACAGTTCCGAAGAGTTAATTAAATGTGAAGAAAATGTAGAAAGAAGGGTTTCTAGCAGATCAACCAAAGTGGTCCCACCGGAAAGATTCTCTTATAAAGCAGAAGACGAAGAATCAATCTTACTTAAAATTAAAGATCCAGAAAGCTTTGAAGAAATTCTAAACTTACCAAAACGTGAACAAGAAGCTTGGATCAAGGCTATGCAAGAAGAAATACATTCTCTAAAAGAAAATGAAACCTATAAACTTACAGAATTACCAACAGGAAAACATGCAGTAGGCAGCAAATGGGTGTTTAAGACAAAATATGATCAAACTGGTAAAAATATAAAATACAAAGCACGCTTAGTAGCCAAAGGATTTACTCAAAAATACGGCAGTGATTATGATGAAACTTTTTCACCAGTAGTGAAACACACTACGATAAGAGTTTTCTTAACATGGGCAGCGTATAATAATGCCAAGGTACATCAACTAGTTGTTAAAACAGCTTTTTTGTACGGCAACTTAAATGAAGAAATATATATGGAACAACCAGAAGGATTCGTGGTTCCGGAAGAAAGACATAAAGTTTGTAAATTACAGAAGTCGATTTATGGTCTCAAACAAGCAGCTAGGTGCTGGAATGCAGAAATTGAAAATACACTGAAGAATCTGGGGTTCAGTCAAAGCAAAGCAGATCAATGTCTTTTCACAAAAGTGGTTCGTGATAAAAGAATTAAATTAATAGTGTATGTTGATGACATCGTAATAAGTTCTACAGAAGAAGGACTAATTCTTCAAACAATTAATGATTTAAAGAAATGTTACCAAATAACACATCTTGGTGAAGCTAAATATTTCTTAGGCATGGAAATAAATCGCAAGGAAGATGGAAGTTATCTCTTATCACAGAAAAATAAAATAAATCAACTTGTCAAGCAATTTCAACTTGAAGAAGCGAAACACGCTAGCACACCAATGGAAATGAACTATTATAACCTAAACAAGGAAGAAAATCTCCTAACTTCAAATGATAAATTTCGCCAAGCTATTGGAAGTCTTTTGTATATATCGTCTATCACAAGACCAGATATCACAGCTTCAACTCACATACTCAGCAGAAGGTGTAATAATCCACGTCAAAAGGACTGGAATGCTGTTAAAAGAATCATTAGATACTTAAATACGACAAAGAACCTATCCTTACAAATTTCGTCGAGTGAAGAACCTAATATTACAGTTTATTCAGATGCTGATTGGGGACAAGATATTGAAGATAGAAAATCTACATCAGGAAGTGTTATTTTATTAGGAAGGAACTGTATTTCATGGTTTTCAAGAAAACAAACTTGTGTTTCTTTATCCTCAGCAGAAGCTGAATATGTTGCACTATCGCAAGCTACGCAAGAACTATTATGGCTATTAAAATTAACAGAAGATTTCAATCTACCCCAAACTCTACCGATAAAGGTATTTGAAGATAATCAGTCTACTATAAGACTTGTAGAATATGAAAAATTCAGTTCACGCACAAAACATATTGATACAAAAGTTCATCATATACGCGACTTGAATAACAAAGGAATAGTAAAACTTGCTTATCTTTCAACAGAGGAAATGGTTGCTGATATTATGACTAAACCAATTCCTAAAGCTAAATTTCAGTTTTGCAGGAATGAATTACAATTGGTATGAGTTTCATTAGCAAAACAGGGGCAATGTTAGCATAAATTTATGTATTTTGCATAATGAAACTCGAAAGGCATACGAAACGAACGTGCGCCAAGGTATATATTGGTGAGAGAAAGTAAAGCTCATGTGCAATGCAGTATATTTGATTTTCACCCTAGCTACTTGTACCTGGCCAAAGGTCTAATCCAGTAGTACTTTCTTCTCTTTCAGGTACGATGGCAAAGTATGTTCCTGTTTATTTTTCTTATTGCATAATATAGGTGAGCCTGATGATATTTAGTACTGATGATGATTCTATGTAAGTTATTCTTTTGAATACTTCAATTTTAATGTCCTTGAACATTATTACTTTTGTTATGCTTAAGTTAAGCAGAATTATCCTATTTTATTAAATAAAGAATTCATAGTTAATCTTTTGACTTATGATTCTTTAATTCTGTGCTTGAGGAAACGTACTCATTACGCCTTCAGTGCTAATGCACAACCAACAATTTCTCATATTTGACAGATGCAAAATGTAAGCTACAAAATATGGAATATAGCTTCTTTGCAGCATTTAATTTGTATTTCCATTTTGTAAGACAGTATTATTAAATCCACTATTAGCTTAAAATATTGCTTTATTAAATTTATAAATAGACCACTTACAAAAATCAGTTTGGAAATAAATTTTATTCTTCTACAAAGTAAAAATTAAAAAAAAAAATCCTATATTTATTTTTATTTAGTTCTTATTTTTTTACAATTCTTGTTTTTTTTTAAAGAAGTTTCTTCATTCTAGTTATTTTATTTTAATGTGAATATATCTCCATCTATAATCCTGCTAATTTGTTCACCAGTTTTTGTCTTTTTAGTAATATATTTTCCAATCGACAAACTGGATTTACTGATTTCAGTAAAAACATTTAGTATAATCCTAATACATTGCTGAAATAAAGCATTCTTTGAAAGAATGCATTTTCTTGGAGATTAACATATCAAAACAAATAAATAAATAAATCTGATTCACATGCTCAAACTATGTTAAATAACACTGAAGCTTTCATAAACAATTTATAAACTTTAACTGCCAGAATTGGAATGACATGTCACTTTCAGTTTTCTAAGGTTTCCTCTGCAGTTCTGGTTGCTGTCTTTTAAGAATAACCATCTAGATTAAACAAAATTCAAATGATTCAAATTCAGTGCTCTTTACTACCTAGAAGAAATTTCATTGCTAATTTTAGTTTTCTACTGGGATACTTTTAAGTGAATGAGTGTAAAAATACTTAATGAGTAAGGAACCATTCTGTTGATCAGTTATTATTTAAGAGCCCCCTTTTGTATTACACAGTCCTCTTCCTGGGTGCTGAATAACTTGTATCATTTCCTATTGCTTCATCACAGATGAAGATGCTGTAAATTCTAGATATATCTATTCTCTTAACATCCTTTACCTCTCGGAATTTATTTTTGAATGTACGGCAATTGTATTATTGTGAGTTTACAGTCATATTTCTTGAATATTAATATTATAAAAACAATATATGGATAATAGGGTATATTCTAATGAATAATAAATAAATTTATCTCTGCTTAGTTTGTGAATGGGTTAATGCATTATTTCAGCCATGTTAATTACTGCGATCTACTCATCTTATTACAAAGATTTCCATAGAATTCAGAGAGGAAGAGAAACACCTATAATTCATTGAAACCTTCTGGGGGGTACTTGAATTCAATTTTACAAAATATAGCCATAAGGCAAAATTTCTTAGCTTTCAGGGAAATTCTGCAAGGTATTAATTACGTCTTGCATGATTCCGATATAAATACTGCAGTTTTCTTTACAAAGAAAATAATCAAATTTATAATAAAGTCTTAATTGAAACAGCATTTTAAAATCTCACTCTATTATTCCATCAGAAATTAAAACCATGCGGAAACTTCTCTATTTATTAAAAGGATTGCAATAAATATTTTCTAAAAAACCTGGTGTGACAGCAATATTTTGCTAGTGAAGACTTCTCTATTTATTAAAAGGATTGCAAAAAAAATATTTTCTAAAACTGAAGTGAAAACAATATTTTGCCAATTTATTAATGAATAAAAAATATTGCCAAAAACAATAGTTATTAATGAATAAAAAATATTGCCAAAAACAATATTTTTTATTCATTAATAAAAGAACATGAAATTGACATATGAAAACATTAACATCTACTTCAAGGTTCTAATAAACCTTTGGATAAATGGAATATATACCTTTGTTTATATTATATTATGGATTTGCTTTACATTAGTTTGACATATTTGTCATTCCCTGCAGGAATGCTGCAACAACATAAAACAAGAGTTGGGTAATTAACATATGGCTAATATATTGCTATAATATCTAAATTTCAAAATCTCTAAGTGGTCAGATACATCTTAATTATAAATTACAATTCAGAAGTGTTTTATAATAACCATCAAAATCTTCTAATTATATCTTTTAAATTTCATTTTACAGCATTAAATTTGAACAAGAAAATGAAAGTTTTGATACAAACTTCAGTTATTTCACTTTGAGAAGAAGGCTTATAATCAAAAGTATTCTTTTTATTTCTATATACGACTGATGAAATATGCTTGATGAAATCAGCGATATCTGTAGTTTTTGAAGCAAAGAGAATCTTTAAAAGAAAAAAAAAAAACTTAAGTTTATTCTTAAGTAAGTATAATAACTTAAGTTATAAGATTAAGTTATAAGTTTCAATAAAAAATCTTTTCTTAACAAAGTTCTGTTTAGCACCACTAAAGAATAGCTAGACTTTGAAATGAGAGATCTGCTAGAAGTAATAGAAATTTGGTGCCTTAATGTGCAAATAATGTACAAATGCTGAAAATTTTTAAAAAAATCTCAACTAACATCAATACAGTACAGAAATTTCAATATTAAATAAGCTAAACTGTAAATAAACTATGACTAAGAAGTAGAATGAGCTAAAAGCATATAAATCTTGAGTTACCAATAGTAAATTTAATTTAAAGAAACATCAAACAGTTATCTCTGCTGAAAGAATTCATTAATAAAAGGTGACAATATTAAAGGTAATAAAATAACAAGGTAATAAAAGGTAGTTTTTATCTTAAAAGTTAACTAACATTCTATTGTTGTATAAGTGCTTCTTGAATTAGTCTTTGAAACCATTTAGATATTATTTAACATTTTCATTTTTCTACAACATGAATTTTGAAAAAAAAATTAAGATAATAAATAAGATTGAAATGCCATAAAATGTAGCTAATAATACATCTATGTTAATTAACTTGTAATAAGAGCTATTTTGGGAAACAAATTTAAAGATATAAGAAAATAATAAAATTGTAATAAAAGTACTTTTTTTATCATTATTTTAAAAAAAATACTCATTTTTTTAAAAATTTTTTTATCATTATTTAAAAAAAAATAATAAATATAAATGATGGGTATCTAATATTTCCCAAGGAGAAACAACTTTTATCTTTCCTCATCATTCCCGCTTTAAGAACAATTTTAATAATTTAATTTCTCTAAGCTATAATACTTATTATTGCCAATATTCTGACAGAAAATGCCTGTTGTGTGCTCAAGTACATATTTAGTGATCTAAAATTTTGTTTGTGGGACAATTATCTGAAAAAAAAAAAAAAAAAAAAATTACAGCCTAAATTTTTTTCATAACAATCACGGTTTTAATCTCTTTTTTTCATTGACATATTATACTTGTGTAGCCAGCTGAATTGAATGATGGAGAAACAATCAAATTAAATAATTTCATAAGAAAACATTTCAGCAAAAATATCTACATAAATATTATGTGTGATACAAATTTATGCATGATGTAAAAGATAATAGTGCTGAATCAAGTTATGGCCTTTTAATCTGTTTTAAATTTAAAGCATGTTACAGTAAAATCATATAATCAAAGCAGGAATTTATATAATTTTTTACAACTTGCAGGTTACATGTTTGCAAGGCAAAGGCAAGCATTCAAAGAAGAAAGATTAAGTTACTATAGAAGATTAATAAAAGGTAAAGTTCCTTTGTTTTTCAGTAGAGGACCATAACCATTTATTATTGCTTTGAATATGAATTGGTTATTGGATACAGAGTTTTGCTTTAATTTTGTTTGGTACGTAAGTATGTGCATAACCTATGTCATATAAGAAGTGTATGAAAATCTTAGTTCTGGAAAGATGCATTTCAGAAAGCATTATTACAAACACTTTACTATTTTTAGATAGAAAACAAAAATAGTCAAACAATTAAGGGGACTTTATAGGCTATTAATAATTTTATTTTATATATACAGGATATTTGTAAACTGTTTCAACAAAATAAAAGTGTTGATAGTACCTGCCAAAGTAAACAATACAAGGGTTGCTACTTATATTTCTGGCCTAATAATGAAGAAACAAATGTTTATGATTGAAACTGGTTTTTATTGTTTCTCAAAATATTCTCCACAAAATCAATACACTTTTTCACGCATTTGAACCAATTTTTGAAGTGCTTTTTTCACTCCAATTGAGGTAACTCCAAAACAATCAGCCACTTCGTCGGGTGTCACAAATCTCTGACCACGTAATTTATTTTTGATGTGCGGGAATAAAAATGTCATTGGGTGCCAAATCAGGACTGTATGGCTGCTGACCCATCAATTCTATGTTTTGGCCTGTCAAAAATTCCTTGGTTTGAGCCGATGTGTAAAAGCTCACACTGTCATGATGTAGAATGATTTGCCTTTTCTTCTGCTTTTTTCAAGTTTGTCCAATGACTTCTGGCGAACAAATGGTTGTGTACCATTCACAATTGACCATCCTACATTACTCTAATGTGTGTGACCGGTAGTGCCAAAGAAACAGACAGCCATTTGCTTCGATGTACTTCTTCTGTGAACAAATTTTGTTGGATTTGGATCATCTTGGAAGACCCACACATTCGACTGCTGTTTTGTTTCGGGCTCATATGCCCGAAACATGATTCATCACCAGTGTAGATGTCATACACAGCCTTTGATGCATCTTGAAATTATTTTTCCAACATTTCCTAGCACCAATTGATACGAGCCTTCTTTTGAGCATTCATCAGATTATGTGGGATCCAGCGCAAACAAATATTTTTACAGCCAAATGTTCATGTAATATCTTATCATTGCTTGTCATACTAATGCCCGAAGATGCCTCAATCTCATGGTATGTCTCATGACGATCTTGCTCTATCAGTTCATGCACAGCATTGATATTTTCTGGCACAACAACTGATTTTGGACGACTTTGAAGGAATTTATCTGGGAGCAAACATCGACCACGATTGAATTCTCTAGTTCATTCAAACACATTCAACCAGTTTTTTACAGTGCTGTAGGATGGTGCTTTATCGTTCTATAAAGAATTAAGTTTACTGAAACACTCATCTTGATAATGCACATTAAAAGTTATGAAAAATGATCACACAAAAACGCTCATGAGTCAATTATATTTTTTTGTCCGAGATGAATTTTTCAATTTACTGTAAACAACATAAATCATACTAAAATGACAAAATGTTCGAAAGAGGCTATGGTTAAAAATATCAAATTTTCGAATGGAATCATCTGCAGTCACCTAGCAGCAAACACAGTTGCCAAGGCCAGAAACATAAATAGCGCTCTTCATATTTAAAATGGAAGTCTGCATTTCAGTGATGCAGTGTCAGAAAAGAGTAATTTCAAAACACATTCAACAAACAAAAATTGTCACTTTTGACGTGCCAGTAGCACATCTCCAGAACATAACCATCAAACATTTGTTGTGCAAAATTCTAATGCAAGAAGCAGAATTGAGAGTTACAGCTGATTGGCTGTTAACAGTCAAAGGATCTATTAAGAGTTTATCATTAACCATATGTGATGATGAATCTGAATCAACTCTCCAATTAACTACCCTGTTTTGTTTCATTAGCACTAGAAATGATGCTAGTTGATTATTAGTGTTATTTATGCAGGAAAAAAAAAAAAAAAAAAAAAAAAATCCATGATTACTTTCCTTCTTTACTTTTTTACACATTTTGCAAACCTGTTTGAGGAAATTTTCTAAAAATATCAGTTAAATGTTCAACTATTACATTTGATACAAATCTTTTCAGTCGATTTTATTACAAAAAATGAGCAATATGATCAACATGTTCATAATTAAAACAAGTTTTTTCTTTTAGTCTTTTCTTTCTTTTTCTTACATTTAATAAATGTAACTGAATTGGTTTTGATATCTCTGATTCAGTTTTATCCATCTTCTATAATTAAATATTGTTTGTTAAATTTTATAATGTTTTTTCACCATTTGACAAAGATTCCCAACTACTAATGAAATATTTATATTTCACTGATGAATCTACCAAAATTATCATCTTTCCATCAAATTTATTCTTTCAGTTAATTTAACATATGTTCCATTTTACTGATATGAGAAGCTATACCCTTTCTTTCTTCATACTTACCATTGATATAATATTTTCTTTTACCTAAACAAGATGTATTTTTATGATCAGATTTTTTTCATGTACAGAATACAGTTTATCGTACACATCTTTAGAATTAGTACAGTTTAATACATGCATCATTGGACCTTTATCTACAGAAGAAATTCTACATTTTTTAACTTTGGCATTTTTTTAACCATTCTAATTTTTTTAGATTATTCGTTCATATTGCTTAAATTTTTATTTCCTGATACTATGTTATACAAATCAGATCACTCAATTTTTATTATTATTTGAAATTGCCATACTTGGAACTAACATTTCAACATTTCTTAATATAACTACATTTTTATCTACAGTCATTTTACTTTTTTTATATAATTTAGACAAATTTTAATTCAATTCTTCCCAAATAATTGTAAACAAGCTTTCCTGTATATCATCTGAACATTCGCTCTGTTACCATGTTGAGAATTTGTACACAGGTGGAAAAGCATATTATTACTTGATAAGATTTTTATTTTACACAAGAATATTACATTACATAACATAAAAACAAAACTCTTTTCACATAATAAAGAAAGTATTAGAATATTAACCACTGTTGACATTTACTTAAAAAGACTACTTTTGCCATTGGCTTGCAAATAATTAAGACTTCAACTCAAGTTTAGAGACATAAAAAAAATAAAAAAAAAAAAAAAAAAAAAATTGCACTTAATGTCATAAACGAAGAAAGTTTATGTAAGGTTAATTCTAACAAAAAGGTTGTCACAATGGTTGAAATCGTTTCCATTTTTCCAAAATTTGATAAATTAAATGAAGAAAACGTGATAGTTATTCAGTCAGTTCGTTAGTTTTGATGATGCAAAACCAAATATGGGTAGTTAATGGATTTTAATGATACAAAACTAATTTATATGGGTAATCCTTGGGTTTTATTGATGCAAAACTAAATATAGGTATTCTATGCCGAATACAATGTAAAATATTATATATTGACACAAGCTATACATGTACAAAATTAAGAGGAGATTCAACAGAATATTGTATTAAAATATAACATTGCTGGCATGGTTAAGTTCTCTCCCACATCAATGCATGACCTTTGTTGGAAATCGTGTCAGCAGAGATATTATCAGAGAATTTCAAGTGCAGACATATCCGTTCTGAGAAGAATCCTGAGGTTTT